GAACCGCACACCGGAGAATAATTAGACACGTGCGTGACAAAGACCCTCTTCTGCCCGTTAAATGATCTTGATAAATACCGGCCGCGTGCATGGTTAAAAGTTGACGCTTGTCGTCCACTTGTCCCGGACGCGATTTGGCGCCCCGACTATACACGTACGGCGGGGAAAAGCCACGACGGGACAATTAACGAGGCGATAACGCGAACTTACGCGAGCGCGGAGATCGTTTACATGAACTATTAATTCGCAACTAGGAAACAATTATTCTCGTCTTCATGACAGATGCTATGAAAACAAAATTATATTTCTCCGCCATTATTATTATCATTACTGTTAATGAGACGACAACGTAAATTTCCGCCGCGCAAATGTTGGGCCGGGGAAAATTATGAGTCGCAATTACTATGATAATAAAATCATATTTCTCATTGGGGCTACCACTATTATCATTGTTAATGAGACATCAGCGTGAATTTCCGCCATGTGGCAAATATCATTATCCTTGTTAACAGAAATGTAATGGCGACGAATTACGTCAGACGTGTCGGCAGAGAGTCGGCAGAGAGTCGGCGGGAAAAGAAAAACGGGCACGGGTAACTATGTTAATCCTAATCGCGACCATATTGTGGAAACGTGATTGTACGCTTGTGATCGCGCGTTATTATTGCCGTCATTATAATCACATCCCCCTCGTCGCGCGTCGACTGCGTCAGGAAACGCTCTCTCCGCCTGCAATTACTCGTTATTGGTCGTTGCATCGCGGAAAGCGCGCCGTTCACTTAACCCGTACACGAAGAAGAAGGGCCCGGCACTTGCGCCGCCGCGCCGCGCCACGACGAAGACAGGCTGCACTTGTAAACTTAATTACTCGCGAGAGCCAAGCGGCACTTGAGGGAGGCCATCAACCGGGATGCGCAACGCGAGCCGACTGCTCGTAAAACTCGTAATCAAGCCTTATTAAAACCGTAGGGGCGTGAAGAGTGGAGGGACACGAGCAGGGCTGGCGGGGGGAAGGCTGTGCAACTAGATTTAACCCTTTTAAGGGTTAAATAACGAACATTATGCTTCAAAGAATGTTTAATGCAAAGAGCAATGCTTTCCTGCTTAAATGGATGTAGTCAGGTGTCATCTGAAAAACTTCGAAGGAGAAAATATTTTAAGATCCACGGTGCTTAAGACGTATTGCAGGTTAATGATAAAGATACTGTCAGAGAGGAAAATTATTTATTTTGTCAGTTTTATATAGATACATTTCGTTGGCTCGATATATATTTTTTTCCTAAATTGCGCCGTTACATATTAAATCTTGATGTAGATCATAAGAGAAAAAGAGAGAATATGCGATAACAAGGGATAATTTCAACGAAGCAGCGAATTTTTTTAGGAAAATATTTGCACGCGTATTTTAATATTCTCCCCATTATTCTCATCTAATCAGGTAAAAAAAACAATGTCCGGTATTCCGTATCGGTATATATAGCACAGTACAACGAAAAGTAATTATTTTCGCTAATCGTGATTAAAATGTAATATCATGTTCGCGTTGTTATCGGTACGTATATAGTATTGATTTAACTTCTTTGTAATTTCGTTTAACTTCACGCGAGGGCTGACGGCAACACGTTTTATCGCTTTAATATCTAACGTTCCTGCAGTAATTTTCGGAGTTTGCCGCGCGCAGTCTTTTTACGTCGTTGCAAGAAACAAATACAACTGGCGGTGAGAGATGTATTTTCGCGGATGTTACGATCATCCACAGAGACTCGTAATCCTATAGAGTCGCTTGGCCCGCTCATCGCCCGTCGTAAGATCATAAAGTTTGTATCCGACGTAATTAAAACGCAACGTTTCCTTCGCGTTCGGCCCGCGACTACGTCAGATAGACTGTCCCGCGACGAGTATTAAGTGTTTAGTTGAAGCAGTGCGATGCTTTATGGACTCTCGTAAAACTCGTTCTATCGGGTAAACATTCCCCATTCGGGAGATCCCGATACGAGTAAGAAAGAACCGATAGCAGAGATCGGGAATGCGAATTAAGATGCGTTTGGTGGCCTCTTAAATGCCCGTTAAAGCAAAATGTCTCAGAATTATAGCTTGTGAAACAAATGTTACGCTATAACATATACTTAGTTTGGTTTGTACTTTATCTTACATTTCATTGATTTCATCAATAATCGTGAGTCACCGCTGTTTTATTGCATTAATTCCATTAATTTTCTTTATTGCTTACAATAACTTTATCATTAAACTTTATTAGATCTTTTTTTCCTCAAAAACTTCCCTCCAATATTCCTCATTCAATATTTCTTACTTCAAATTACTTTTCCCTAAGATCTCAACTCAATCCTATTTATTCTCCCTTCTTCAATCAAATAGCAATCTTGATTATTTCTGTTTATGTGTATAAGTAATCCTCGTTAATTATTTTAATTTTCGTTTAATATATACACTGAGTATTAATATACTCCAAAATATATTGGTTAATGAAATAATGAATATGTACGGTTACGTATAACAATAATTTTTCACGCTTGTCCGTGATATTTGCAAATGCGAGAAAAGTTTGCTGCCGAAAAAAAGCTCACTTCGCAAAATGCTTAATGAAACGTCGAACTTCGATCGGTATAGTTGTTGAACAAACGTTGGAAATAACGAGCAGTGCCTGGATAGAAACGCGATATGTGCATAAAAATAAAACAGCGAATCCGGAGAATCCGGATATAACGGGCGCGATCGACGAGTATCGTTACGGGGAGTATGTTAGTTACGCGCGGAAACAAACTTAGTAATGATAAATCTTTTTAACGAATCCCCGCGCGTTTTGCGAAAATGGCGAAACTTCGAGAAACGAAGTGTAAACCCAGTAAACCTCGCTTGCAATAACAATACGCTCTTTGTTAAATAAACTTCTGAGAGACTTCGATCATTTTCAACAACTTCTATTTATGCCTGGCCGGAATCGGCCGGTGAGGGAAAGGCGAAACGTGAGAGGGAAATCTTCAAAACTGCGAGCACCTAACGATACGACAGAGTGTTTTCTCCCCCCCCCCTCTCTCTCTCTCACTCGCTCTCTCTCTCTTTCTCTATCAAGTAGACTAGCGTAGAGAGTTTCAATGTTTTGAGCTAAAGGCTTCTC